AGCGCTTCAGCATTTCAAGGAAATAATTCCTGCCAGCTAGGTACCCATTTACATCACCTGGGTTGAGTGTGGCAAATGTAGATCAATGTCTTGCCAAAGGACATTAGCGCCGCGGCAGGACTCGAACCGTGGACATTGTGATCGACAGTCAGACGACGTATCCACTCGACCACGACACCTCACAAAAGGATCCATGCAGATCTCTCTAAATTAATTTGGTTAAATCTAGCCCTTGCCTCCTTACATGTACACGTTAGTCATTCTAATGAGGTGATCCAATATCAAAAGCAAAGAAAGCAACTTTTTGTACTTTTGAATGCCTGGTAAGTGCCTGGAGAGTGTTAAAAACTACCTTTAATTAAACATGTACTGTTTATGTAAAGAACTTTATATAAGTTGAAAATAATGGGGCATGAAAACCAAACAATAGTCAATAGATGTAAAGAGGAACTATTTTTTGGTAATAGGATTCCTTTAAAAACCACTCTGGATCTGCCATAAGAAAATTAGAAGATGATAACTGTTATGGGGAATTGTGGGATTCCCCAAGATCTCTTCTTACTTGATACAGCCAGGCTAGTATTGTGAAAAGCAACCATTATAATACTGCGTTCATAAAACTCTTTGAAGCTAGAATCAGGAACATGAAATGCTCCAATTTGAAACACATCTTCACATTATGGGGTTAAGAGTTCACAGGTCCTTTTTCGCCGCAGAATCGGGTTAAATACGCGGTTTCGCACACATCATACACAATGCAATACTTGGTAGTCTGTAGCAGTGTTTTTATTTTTGCCCGAAATGTTGCCTAAGCAACAGCTTAATCGATCTTATCACGTTCTGATACTATCCTGAAAATCTTCATTCAGGGTCCCTGTAGGGGCTAGTCTACAACCAAATTAGTTCAGACCTTGCAGTATATATGTTATAATTTAACATAAGGTCTGTGCTTGCAGAATAACCATGTGCTTTGATATACAATGTAAGAAGAGAAAATATCAAAAGGTCTGGGTGCGATACAGTACTAGCTTAAAAATCGATGAAGATTTGCTAAATTACTATCATTTTTTAGGTAAACTTCAGGTAAATTTATAAGAATATTGATGAATTTTGGTATCGGTTTGTAGAAAAAAAAGTGTTCCTCAAGAAAATTACGAATATTTTGTTTGGTCCGTTTGTTTTTGTTTTTGTTGTTTTTTTTTTCCCTTTTTTTTTCCCCCTGTTTTTTCCTGTACGAAATGTTAAATTGGGGATGCGGCCTATGCGGCGCTGCGGCCTTATAGCCGGCAAATACAGTAATTTAAAAGTATTCCATGGTTGCATTCAAGAACTCAATTCTGAAAGCATGAATTCTCAATTCTGCAAAATCTTGTTTCAAAAGCATCATTTTCTCTGTTTGAGATTGACAATTCTAAACATGTTTCTTAAATTACATGAACATGGATATCAAACAAAACTAAAGCAATGATATCTTGGCTAAAATAGGGTTTTTATGAACGCAGCCTAAATGGCACCCATCAATCTTTGTGCTAATACTAATTTACAGCCATTACGGAGCTCAATGGAGGTTGGTGAGATTAGCTGTTACATGGTGAATCCTACTTATCACAAATTTACGACACTATACAGGAAAAAAGGTAGGGGAAGATCAAATTGAAAACGAGGACAGAAAGATAGAGAGACGTTGTGATGCGTTCATCAAAATTTGATGGTACATTTACGTTTCATACAAACACTGTTTTATGAAGAATAAAAAAAAATACAATATAAAGAAATGGGGCAAGCACCATATTTGGTCTATTTTTTTCTTGCTTCTTCTAAATGGATATTTAGAAGAAGAAAGAAAAAAGTGTATATATACACCTTGTTAAAGTTAATAGTTCTTTTGCAATTTAACTTAATATTGTGTTTACCTTGATAGGGGGCCTCATTTACAAGTACAAGTTGCTTCTACGGGGTACTGGCCTATTATGTATTCCATATTTATGATCTGTAGTTGTTGTATGATCCCAAATAAACTGAATGAATTGACTACGATCTACAGGTTCATAAAAAACCTATCAGAAAATTATCCTTACCACAGGAATTTGTTCTCCATCGTGAGGAGAAAAAATTCATCTTTTTGTAAAGACTGAATGATTTTTTTTTGTATAAACCCAGAGACATAACAGTATCTCTGAAAATAAGAACTAAATTTTGTGGCTTTTTAAAAAGGAGTTGTACTGGTAAACAAAGAATTGGAGATGTGCACGATAGATAGTAAAGGGAAAAAAAGAACAATTTCTATCAACACTTGCCTGCGGTGCTTTTTTCTAGAAACTTTGTGACCCCTTCTTTGCTTCTACCTTTCAAAAGAGGGCAGTCTGGGGAGTCATCAATTTCAGGTCATTTTTCTTGAGGACTTGTTTTCAATTTTTACAATAAACATAAATGCCTGGGGTATTTGAAACATCCATTTAGATAGGTAGATGCCCTCAAGTAAATTTCATTATTTCTTCACAAATTGTAATCAGATCTATAGAAATTGCATTTGGTGATAATCAGATAATATCAAAGTGACATATTATAGTAAACATCATCATATTTTTATTATATGTATATCATCTACTGAGAGCCAGAAGGACATTAAATCTCCATGAATAATATTGTTGAATGTCCTTTTTGCTTTAAGCAGATGATATTCTTTAGAGGGGTGTTGTTTGCTCGATCCGTCGTCTCATTTCTTCGTCTTGTATTCTCTTCTTCAATGACAAAAACCCAGTTTCTCATCAAATAAAGAATGACGTCTGCTCTCCTTTTCGTCTCAAAGTGATTAATCTCAACACATGTACACACACTCGATACGATTGTCCTACATCTACATACATTGATTGAAAAGGGTGCAAAAAGTTCCATCAAATTATACTTTGTAACTGAGCCAGAATAAAAGGTTGTTGGGTTTTACAAAGATACAGTACTTGATCTAACAAATTATCTTCAATCACATTTTTTTTCTTCCTTTATGCACTTTCTCTATGGGGTATCCATAAATGTTTAAAATGAATTACATGTACTGGTATATACACTGTAGATGTAGACACATAATCCATGCACATTTACATGTACATGCAGGAACCGGTTATACCTTTCAGACAAGTGCCAATTCATTAATATCATAATTGATATTTGTCGATATGAGGCACATTAAGGGTAATTGACTGGGTGGATATGAAAAAACACTTCCCGGAATTGCCGCCTGTACCCATACATGGGGTCACTAAAGGTTATACGAAAGGTGAGTGACACAGCAATGGGGCTCTTCCAAGAAATCTCACTTTGGTTATTAACAAAAGCAAGAGGGAGGAACATAGTACGTGGGTGTTGCATTGGAGAGCATGATACCGTTGCAAAGGCAGGAAGGAAGGGGAGATGAAAAATTCATTTTAATATCTAATATGTGGTTTTAGGGTCCAGTAGTTTTGATCAGGTAGTTTTGACTCATATAGATTGCTATCTGTCTTCATAAATTGACAAGAGCATACACACATGTGCTATTAAGGAGTGCTTGAAGTTCTGTTTAAATGTATAACCGTAATAATTCTACAAAGTTATTTGCCTTATATCTTTTAGACTGGACAAGACATATTCAAGCATGTATAGCTTTACACATTAGCTCCCCAAACAAATTCTTTTACTATTTACAATATTAATTTATACAACATTTTAAATACTCAAATCTAGAAATTAAGTTTCATTAAAAAATTTAGAAGAACTACATGTACAGTACATATCACCAAACCCTACACGCAGTTTCTCGCCCAGATCTTGAAAAAAAATAGGAAGTTCACTACTTGCTCAGTCATTCAGTGATTTTTTTTCCAATATTCACACAAATCCCTTCCTGCTATTTGCAATCAAAGATTTTTTGTAGAATTTCATTTTTTTCATAAAAAGCAGAGAAAGAAAAAAAAAGAGTTGAAATTAGAACAATACAATATGAATTTGCTACTGTGTCTTTCAGATTTCCATGGATTATAAAAACAAATGGCAGGCAAGAACAAGAACCTAGGAGTCTAAACCACTTCCAAGGCCTTGTGTAACTTCCCGAAAACATTAGATTACAGTAACTTGGCCGTAGTATAAACATCACGACTACATTCAATTTGCATTTCTAGCTAGCTTCGATTCAGCCTTCACCTTGAATGTGCCCTCGAAGACTTCCTCCAAACAATAACAGGTGTGGAATAAATTTGAAACAGAGAGGACCAGCGATTGATGCTGTCACTTGTAAAAGGTCTGGGACACTCAATGAATCATAACAATAACAACAACAACAACACCAATCTGGTTGACATTGCCAAGAGCTACACAAATTAAGACGTAAAACATGTACATGTACAGAGGAAGGACTAATGAACACTCACAGCTAGACTTGCATTCACACAACCAACATGCATCATATAGCTACATGTATACGTTGTATAAAGAAACGCCTGTTTGAGCATTATTTTTAACATAAACTTAATAAAGAATCATGGCTGGCTCAAGTATGAACGTCAAATCGTACAAAAATCATATACTGTACGTACAGTCATGTAACTGGCCGGGGCTGATTATGAGTACACGCTATTAACGATTGCCCAGCTGTCATGTCAACTGACCTTGTCATAAATTAGTGTCATTATTTGATGTTATTTTCTAGTCTGTAGGCTTCTTTCATTATACGATGAATCTTAATCAATGTTACTTTATACGATTTTCGTATACATTTCCCAGGCTGAACAGGCCATTGATTAACTTTTCTACTCATACATCTGGCTTTTTTGTATGGGGGGGGGGGGGGGGGAGGGGGGAGGGGGGAGGGGCTATGAATCCATAAGTGATTAAGCCAAACCACGGAATATGGAATGATTGAACGAGTGGTTAAATACGCTGAAACAAAGGCTTACAAACAAAGACTGTTGATTGATATGCCATGATAGCTGGCTTGTATACATGTACACCCTGTACGTGTGTCTTACCTCCTGTTCCTAACACCTTCAAGAGCTCAAAGTTCTCTCGCCCCACCTTCTCCGCATGTCCTGTTAGGTTAGCTACAATCACAAAAAAGAAATAAAGACAAAAATAAGGAAAACATTATCAACACAATGGCATGTTATTGAACCATGTTATTCATAGCTTTTGGAGCCTTCAGCACCAGGCAGTAAATCAATTTATATTGATATTGTATGGAATAAAGTGTATCAAGTGATGTGGTACAGACTTGCAGGCAAAAATCAATCACTCATTATTCAAAAACCGTCTTGTGTTTATGGATATTCTTAAGTTCAGAGCTAACTCAAGGCATGGCATAAATTTTATTTTTTTGTTTGTTCGTTTGTTGGAGGATGTTGAAGGGTTTCAGGTAGCTCAGCAAAATGTTATGGCATGAAAAGCAGCTTTCGGGATGCAAAAATCATACCCGAGAATTGTTGAAATCGCTACGATGTGGAGCTGGTGAACATATGCATACATGATACGATCTTGATTACCGGTAGGCTTAATGTTACCTCAACTTACATTCAGATAAGTTAAAGGAAACCAAAACCTTCATACTAAGTTACTTTTATTGTAAAGTTTAAGATATTTGAAAAATATCAGTGACAATTTGAACAAAATCGGGCAAGGAATAAGGAAGTAAGAGCTTTTTGAAATGACTAGTCACTAGAGGGCGGTATTCAATTTGATGACATCATCTGTGAACAACTCTCCATGCCTTTTGTACATCAAATTTCATGTTTTTCCTTCTTTCTTGTGATTGAGATAATGTACTCCCCTGAAAGCAAGATATAGAATGCAAAATGATATTCTACTTCACATGTTATGAAGTCGGATCAAGAACACAAATAAATACGAAGAAAACAAAAAAATTGTGAAATTTTATGTACAAAAGGCATGGAGAGTTGTTCAAGGATGATGTCATCAAATTGAATACCGCCCTCTAGTGACTAGTCATTTCAAAAAGCTCTTACTTCCTTATTCCTTGCCCGATTTTGTTCAAATTTTCACTGATTTTATTCAAATCTTTCAAACTTTACAGTAAAAGTAACTTAGTATGAAGGTTTTGGTTTCCTTTAAGAAAGAACTTCTCATGAGCAAATAAAACAAAACTATTATGCCTTCTATGTTCCGGACACGTCTCTATGTGCAGCTACATTTTGCTAAGCTGCTTTAATAAAATGTCTGCAGAAGAAAATAAATCTCATTATTTTTCTTTTTAAATATCCCAGGCTATTTTAAGCTTGAAAAGCCGTTCACATCAATTCCCCCATCTTCGCCTTTTACATAATGATGTTTCTTCATGGAAAATGTACCCTATTGAACTTTCAGTTCTGGTTCAATGGATTATATTACCTCATATACATGTACATATACATGAGAGCAAACAAAACAAATGTGGTGCATTAAATATCATGTCACCTACTTAATAGAACAAAGGAAAGATACATCCAATCAAAAGTAAACCACAGGAAATATGAACTCTTGTGGACACATTCATTAGAATTAATTATTTACTCTATTACATGGAATTGTCAACAGTGTGGTTCCTAAGAAAACACTACACATGACAAAAACAAAACCACAATGTAATCTGGTTTCAAGTGCCGGGTAGAATTTTTTTTTCTTGGTATAGATTCATGTTTACAAAATAATATCTCATATCTGTCTGGACAGATCACAGATGATCCTGTGGAGATCCACCTGTCTGTATGTTTGTCTGTCTATTTGTGTATGTCTGTGAATCTGTCTGTCTGTCTGTCTGTCTGCCTATATACAGTACATGTATCTAATGTACGTCTGGGACTCTGGATACCTGTCTGTTTCTCTGTCTGTCTACATATATATGCGTACACTCTAGATCTGTTTTACTCTCAATGTCTACATGTCTCTGTGTCTGTGTCAACATTACCTACATGTATAGAAAAAAAACAAGATTTTCTGCAAGAAAAGAACCTTCACTCAGCAGAACAGTTCACGTTTACAAACCAATACAATATTCAACCACAAAAACGTTCACTCTAAACTCTTTCCAAATACTTTTAATAGGGTGGGGAATTATGAAAATAATAATTTCATCCTTGACACCAGGCCACATGAACCAGGCCACACATGACACTGATACAAACAAACACTTCCTGTGTGACGGACCTATTCCCAGGCTTCCAGCACACGCTTTGTGTGAGCTCACCACACCTGTGACAAAACAGATGGGTGGGGCACTCATACACACACTCACACTCAGATAAACAACCTTAAATTATTGTTGCCATGGGAACCTTTACTACTACTAGCAAAGCCACTGGAAACCTTGCTTAATGTGGATAAGTTATGAACTGATACATTTTGTATCATGTGATATTGTTCCTTCTTGGTAAGGAATGTGTTACGTGTGAATCGACCGGTACAGATATGTATTTAAAGTTATGGACACCTTTTTTCTGAGAGTCTACTTGTTATTTTATACTTGTTATCCTATTACAAAATCTCATATTTCAATAGATAAAAATGAACATACCGTAACATGTAGTTTGCATTGGTTATTGGTAACTAGACGTACAATTTATGTTGAACAAGCCACTGGCACCCAATAGAGTGGTCCCAGTTACCATTTTACAATAAACATGTAGAAACTTGAAGACATAGTTGTACATGTGTGAACTGGTCTTTTAGATAGCTGCATGTGACAGCTTCAAACTGTGAAGGAATTTGACATGATATCTACAATAACCACAGATAAAGCAGACATAAATTTCTAGCAAAGTGTAGATGGACTCTGACAAGTACAATCAATGCAGAAACATTGTTATAGAGACCTTTTTCAATCTTAATCAATATCATCAGTACTTTAATATACCATAATCCAGAGTATTTTAATAGTAAACATTAAAACTAACTAGAAGACTGTTGAAAATCAATAACCGATATTATCAAAGTCATGCCTCAGAGATTTTCCAGCCCAAACAATACCATTAAACAGAACATGTACATTCGTTGCATTTTACAAGGAATGTATAAATGAAAACTATATACCGGTACATGCACAGGTACATGTATACTTTCATTCTCAACCTACTTCTGTATTGATCATATCGCTTTCATAGATCCGGCTGTGGTCATACATGTAGTACTGGCCAATAATTCTGATGGGATAGTGGGACCAACTCAGTAGGCCTGTCTTCATCAGCTCGAGTTTGCCAAATAACCCGCTATTCAAACTTTCCCCATTGCAAATTAGCCAGTTAATTTGCGTCTCCATCAGCCCTCAGTTGAAATTAGCCGGATATTTGGTTGAGAAAATATCCCAAGAAATTTAAGTCTTGTTTGCAAAATATTCCGCTATTTGGGAAATAGTGAGCTAATTTGCGCCCGTCCGAGTTACATGTAGTTTGTGATGAGCCTATCAGTCTATTCCGAGTCTAAAAATAGTGGGTTATTTGGCAAACTCGAGCTGATGAAAACGGGCCTAGTGAAGAGCCACTGGCTGCTTCACACCATATGGCATATTGAATAATCAGTTTTTTAACCTTGACCTGAACTGTTTCAGAGCACTTCGGAATTTGTCTGTAGATTTGAAATGAACAGCATAATGTACATTTAGTTGTTTTCATGATATCTCACAAGAAACATCCATAAAAATTTGTCTCAACTTCCTGCGCAAGTAGTTTTTCATTATTACTGAAACCAAGATCCATTCTTATACAAAATTCCACATACCAGGATAAACTGTCTTTATATTGGTTTCAATTAATTAAACCCATCAGGAATAAAACTATGAGTACTCAAACTTATAAAGCAAATGTTGCCATCTCTATGCACCAGAACATGCACTTAAAACATGAAGGGTCCTACATGTAGTTAACAATCATTTATCCATCCAATCCGGGAATTTATAGAGCGCCGATATCTAGTTGCCTAATCAATGATAATGCTGAGTTTATATTACATCCTGTATGTAATGTGTTTGAGTCGCATTGTTGCATTGATGCATTGATGCGTTGATGCGTAAATTGAAAACATGCCCAGCAAGTCCGGTTTGCACGGCATAACAAAGGTCGAGCTTCATTTCAAGAAAAATCAAAAGCTAACAATTGTCACACCTTAAGATCAAGCTGCACTCAAATACAATGATATTGAAGGGTTTGAATAAACAATCGAATAAGGATAATCTTGTTCATGTTTGTTACGTGTGGAGGTTGCATTATTGTGTAATTTGAAAACATATGGGTATCATATGATATAATGCTCAGCATGTTAAGGTTAGCTTTTCATAAACAGAGAATTAGCTTTAGAGAAAAACAGAAGAGAGAAGTGTTATAATAATAAAACACTTCTGAATGATCCCATTCATACAATTATACACTCTAATCGCAAATATTTCCCTGATCTACAGTGTAACAAGCATAATAATGCATTACACACAATCCATACAGGTACATGTTATGATTGTGTAAAAGCCATGCCGTGTGCTATCACACGGAAGAGTGATAGAGAGAGAGAGACGACGGAACAAGCCAGCAGGAAAGCATCCAACTTTCCCAGGGTTGCATGTGAGCGTTATTGTCTGTATGCTTCCAGGGTCCTAACTGCCACAACGTAGACTGTGTGGGATTGAGTGACCAGTTATACAGAACAAGAGACAAAATTGCCACGATCTCTTCTCTTTCCAGGGGCTTCCGGGGGGGTTTTCTTACCAGTGCCAGGGGCCTGGGGCATGTTGCCCTTGGGAGATCGGGGAGCATCCCTGGCCGGCCATGTTTTGACACATTACCCTTGATGGATTAGCACGTTCTATTATTGTAGGATTCTGGCATTGGGGCATTTAATGTACCGGTAATCAGGTTTCATGGTTACTTCTTCTCCATACAATTTGCATGAATGTTGTGACCTTTGACCTCTCTCATGACCTTGTCTGTCTGGTCGATAGATGATGCATTGTTTCGAATAAAGATCCAAATCACATTACGAATGGTTTGCACCAATGTAAAAATAATGTCTCAGTTTGGATTGGCGTATAGATATACAGTACATGTACACATGTTAAAGGGATCGTTTA